TCCACCAGGACTCCCAGGTCCCTCTCGGCAGAGCTGCTTTCCAGCAGATCAGCCCCCAGCCTGTACTGGTGCATGGGGTTTGACCTCCCCAGGTGCAGCACTCGGCACTTGCCCTTGTTGAATTTCATCATGTTCCTCTCTGCCCAACTCTTCAGCTTGTCCAGGTCCCGCTGAATGGCAGCGCAGCCTGCTCAGTGTCGTACTGATCAGGCATGATTTTCCTTTGTAAATCCATGCTGACTACTCCCAGTCACTTTCTTGTCCTTTAATATGTTTGGCTTCCAGGATTAGTTGCTCTGTTGCTTTCCCAGGGACTAAGGTGAGGCTGTAGTTCCTTGCATCCTCCTTCTTGCCCTTCTCAAAGACAGAAGTGACATCTGCTTTCTCCCAGATGAAGGTTTCTCTCAGAAACCTTCCCTGATCACCATGAAGCACCAGTAAATGACTTGTTCTCCCTTTGTAAGATTTATAGGGAACAACACCGCCTATAACATGCTTCTGGATTTATGCCTGGAGCAGGAGGAGATGGAAAAGGAAGAGTGCATATCCCTACAGCTGGGGTTTTAGGCAGCTAGTGGGTGATTTAGGGCCAGAACCAGTGAAGAGTCACATCACTGGCCCGTCTGACAGAGGAGGTATGTATCACTCTGTGATATGTTTAAAATGCTTTCTTACCCTGCTATGCCATCAAGTGCTAGCAGTTCCTGGAAAGGTTTTGCAAGCTTCCCAGTCTGTTTGGTCTAAAGCTAGGGATGTCTAGGGGCTTTGGCTACACAGGCCACACATTTCCTCTAGTCTCAAAGGGCCATATGTTCTTTCCTACCATGTGGCTGAAGCTGTTATGCATATGTGATGTAGCCAATGTATACGTGTGCAGCAGATCTGCTTTTGGATGGTGCTGGATTCACTGTGCATATGCAAATGAAAATATATGGAGCATATGTGCACATAATACATTCACTGCCAGGGAGGGAGGATGGCCAGGAGCGTGGGCCTTGGCTGTTAGCATGGTTCATCTAGCTCTTAGTTTCTGACCACGGATGAGCGGGGAACACCGCAGGTCACATAAGTTGGTGACCTCATATTCCCCATGAGTAGTTAAAGTCCAGGCAGCTGTGAAGAAGATGAGATGAAACCTGATTCCACCGTTGCCCCTGCCACCAGTGTACACAAATCCCTTCTTCCTTTGGTTTTGCTTTCTTATGCCAACGAGAAGTCTGCCTATCATATGGTAAGAGCTATCGGGCATAGTCTGAGGATAACTGTAAGCAGCTTTTGAGTATCTTTGTTCCTGTCAGCTTAGCTTCTGAGAGTGACAGACGTCTGCTCCTGAATGTATTGTTCTGTTTTTATAACCATGTTCCTGGTCTTCAGGTGCTATCTGAGTTCAGGATCTGTTGGTCACTGGCAAGCAGGAGGGACAGCCTCAGTGCCTATGTGATTTTACTTTTTGTACAGAAATTCCTTCCATTTTTTCTTGTGATCAGACTTCTAAACAGTATACTAATAGATGCAAAGCCTGTATAAGGATCTTTTTGAAATCACAGCTGGGGTATACTGCTTGTCTTGGGGTAAAATACTGATGCTTTGCTGTTAGATGCTTGAGGCGTGAAACCAGTGTTGATTTTTAGATACAGCAGCCTTGGTCTTTGTGGTTATACTTTGGTTCTCTCACATTTGTGTGGTGCTATTCCTGAAGTAAAGGCCTAACTGGTGGGGGAATGGAAATAGTAATTATTAGTACAATGTCTGGCAGTTGGGCTTTGAGAGCACATTCTATCACTGAAAGTGATGGACTCCTGTGGAAGACTGCTGTGTGCCTGCATCATGGGTCTAAAGCTTTTGTTTGTAACTTTATAGGACCAGATATAAGCTGGCTTGTTTCTTTTGAATTCTCACAGCACTGGGAGCAATGCAAAATCCTTCTGGGTTAAATATCAAAGTAAAATAATGTTCTCTCTTCTAGACATGTTGTTGTGAAGACTTCTCCCAACCACAAATACATTTTCACGCTGAGAACCCATTCTTCAGTTGTTCCTGGCAGCATTGCGTTCAGCTTGCCCCAGGTACTATATGGTTTGACTTAGTGTTTTGCTACAGAATAAGCAAAATCTCTTTTGAGGTCAGGATTGAAGGTAACTATTGTAATTGAAGGGACATGTCTGCATAAATGTACGATACAAATTTGATTTCTGATAGCAAAAATTCAAGGAGACTTTTACTATAGCTGAAGCAAACTTGCTTATATTACTTTGATCTATTTTTAGTGGATGGTGGGATAAAAATCATAGAAAAGGTGTAATTCAACCTTTAAAAAAAAACTACCAGAAACAAACTATTTCAAAGAGAAAAGCCTAAGCAATGTCTGCTATTCTGTGTGAATTTTTATTGTTCCCTGTTTTCCCTTGACTTTAAAGGGTTTTCTTTACTGTGTTGCTCTTTTAAAGACCTGCAGGAAGTTTTATTGACTATATTTCGTCATTGTTAGTATTTCTAGATGAAAAATGTGATGTAATGCATAAAATAGATTTAACTTGTCTCCTCTTTAATTAAGTTATCACATGTTAAGTGATGGTTAGTATAAATAATTGATACAATTAACTTCTAAACAGAAAAATGAATCTTGTAGCCTTTAATTGGCTTACACCATGAGTTGCATAACATAAAACTGCAACAACCGTGGCCACTGATTTAATGCTGTCATATTTTCTTTCTAGTAACTGGCCTGAAAGTTGAGTGTCTGCTGCAGACACAAATTTTTTTCCTCAGCAGATGACTTGGCTTAGGCCCCAAAATTTTCTTTTGCTCTCTCATGTCTGTTCAAATTCAGATTTGTCCAGATGTGTGGGTGAAGAGGATGCTGTGTTAACCATATATCTGGTTACGATTTGTGATGCCCAAACTGAAAAATAGTTATCAGTATTAGTTATTTGTATCACAGGGTTAAAGTAGATGTGTTTAAGGTTGATTTTTGTAGATTCCAGTAGTTATTTATGGAATCATAGAATTGTTTAGGTTGGAAAAGACCTTTAAGGTCATCAAGTCCAACTGCAGATCATAAAGTCCAACTGTTATAGAGGCAGGAGAGCTCTTCTGCGAAGGAGCGAGGTAGGTTACTTACCCCTGAAAACTGACTATGGTAGCAAGTGTTACAGCTGCTGGTATGGGAAAGTTTTATTTGAGTATTCCTGGTGTTAGGATTTAATTTCCAGTATTTCCTGAAGCCTTGGATAATTGCAGCTAGCATTACACAACGTGTGTGTTCATCTCATGTATTCACGTAGGGTCGTGTAATGTGCAGTTACGCTCCAAGACCTCCAAGAAAGTCTGTTGTGCATTCATGATGCGCATAAAGGTCTTGATCACTTTTATTCTGTGATAATCTTCACTCTTAGGCCTAAATACCAAAAGCCATGAAAAATTTTGTATACTGTAGAGCCCAAAACATGAAGGGCCACACAGTGATGAAAAATTTCTTGGCAGCAAACACCCAAAGTAACATAGGAATTGAGCTGTATCTCTTGCCACAGAGAAGACCCTAACTAACCTTTCTAGCAGAACTTGGACAGCTTTCCTTCCTGCCCTGAAATTTGGTGAATGGCTTAACCTGGAGGGTTTAAGCAAAGCTCAGTCTTTGCAGGAGTACCAGTGTGCCTTGCCCACCATTCTTACACTGATGGTCACCGGTGCCTGGTACTTCAGATGCAGGTGAGTTTAGGATATCTTTTGTTGAAGAAATGGAGTATCAAGGGGAGGGGGAGAATTCTTCCTGGCCTTGCAGGTAAGCAGTGGAGGCTGTGAAGTGTGAGAATAAATATAGAAACATAATTTGTTCTCACCTTCTTGGGAATACCAGTAAGTACACATAAGGTTTCCTGCTCTGGGCTTTGATTTCTAACAGGTTGGTCTCTGTTATGCCAAGGGAATTCTTTCCTTAAGCTTGAACCGTGAACATATTGGAGAGAGCGTGTAAAGGGGAAATTTTCATTTTTTGAAAAAGGTCATTGTATTCCTTCTCCCAGACTTGTTCCTTCCAGATAAAAAGCCAAACATAAATGACCATAAAGTACGGCATTTGAAATGCAATCGTACCACAGCCTTGTGTAATGAGGTGTGATTAACACCTCTCTGAGGCTTAGATATTTGAGAGACTGACTACTCCATAAGGCTGAGATGTGGACTGTAAATACACACTGGCCAAGCTATAGCACAAGGGCCATTGGAAAAAGTACCATTTTTGCAATTATCAAGCCAGAACTTTTGGTATCGTAAAGGTCATAGATTTTTGTGTCACGTAATTATTGAACCATTTCTCACTTCTCATGTAGTTCTGTGCTGCACAAATCTTTTTAGAGGAATTTGAAGAGACCTGAAGGATTTGAACAGTTCCATTCTTACTAGTTCTCTGAACAAGTTTTATTTTAGGTAATTTTATAACTTAAAGCACATTACAACTATTTCCTGCATGTATGCTTTTAAAATGATGATGGAGCGTATAACAGCCTTTCTTGCCTGTTGTACTACCTGAGGTGAGATCAGCATCTGGGGTTTGGTAGAAAATGAGCAGAATGACAAAAAGCCCTATCCAATATATATACTTCTGCCTCTGAGTTGGTGAGGTGACCAATAACATGGAGGAGGTTGGACAGAACAACCTCCTGAGGTCAGAAAATAAATTGTTAATAGAAATGATTCCATGACTCGTTTCCTGTTAATTTGAAGGTCTTTGTAAGATCCCATTCTGCCCTTTTTGCTGCTTCTTAAGGTTCTCATGGGGAAGCCTGTTTTTCTGAGTGAGGATGCTGAGTCTGAGTAGGTGTTTGTTCTAGTGAAGGATGGGCTTTCTGAAGTTTTTCTCTTGTTTTTACAGAGAAAATGGGCCGGACTTTCCATTGGACAAGAGATAGATGGTAAGTCAGCAGCGTAATCCTGACCTATGTTTATAAAAACCGAATTCCGTGTTTCCATACTGAAGTGAAAATTAATTGGAAAATCTTGGATCTTCAGCCCTTCTTCAGGTAACATGAGGCCCTTATTAGTGAAGGGAGTTGCTCTCTTACCTGCAGACTTTCTGTCTCTTAATATTTTCAAAACCTGGAGGTCTATTTTGACTGTTACTTTCAGACATCTGCCAGTGTATCAGTATAGCTCTGTGTGGGACATCAGTGTCCCCATGCAGGTATGAACATTTGATGTGCCCTAGATAGTCTGTTCTTGTGGCTTTGGAGAATGCTTATCAGCTAACAGAAAACAGGTGTTGTCCTTGAGAACACTTTTGGCATCTAAATTTGAGTATTGAGAATGGGGAAGTTTTAGTGCTAAGAGCTACCAAAACCCATCAATATGCTCTGGATAGCCGGAGCGATCAGCTTTGAGAGTAGCACTGATGCTTTCCTCAATAACTGATGACAATATTCTGCAGTATACTGAATTATTAAAATAATACTATGAAAGGAAAGGTGCCATCTTGAGTTTGTACAAATCGAAGATCTGTGTTCCAATTTCAAGTCCTAAGTGAGCCTGACGAGCCTTGCCAGTGTTCAAAGAGGGGACTGATTTGCATGTCAGCTCTTTCATTTATTCGTGCTGTCACTGTTACGTCTGGCTTATGAACGATTGGCATTACTGTCAGTTATAGGTGCTGCTCTTTTGGTCTGACTGCAGCTTCTGGAATATTGACCAAACTCGTGGCAGCAGCTGTTGTTACAGGCAGGTCTGCGTGTTCTTTGCAACAGCCTATCAAGGTGACGGATTGTGTTTGTTCTTTTGACCATCAGGAATTACCTGTGTGCTCCTGGAGGCAGCCATCCCGTCCTTTTCTTTGACGAGGCTATTATGATGAAGCCTGCTCTGAATGTTGGCTGGCTCAGCGTTGTTGATGTGGAGCAATTAGGCCACTGTTTTGCCATTTGAGGTGCTTACAGTAATTCCAGGGAATTCTCCTCTCATTTGAGGATTGTGGGCAGAGCTGATGACTGCATCCTGTACCAAAAAGTGAGGAGGACCTAGGCTGAAAAGTGGTACGGCTGTGGATGTGAGGTACTGCTAGGAAAGCTCTTTCCTTGGTTGCTTGTTTTCACAGCTCCTTTGGTCTCAGCAAGTTCATGGGCATGGGTCAGTACTTGAGTGTGAAGTCTGATCTCTTTGTACTGGCAGACTGGAGTGGGTCAGTTTGCCTCTCTACACAACTAAATGCCTCACAGATTTTCCATGGAAGCCATTTCTTTTTGTTAACTGGTTTTGTTTTGTTTTTTAAACTGAAGAATGAGGCGAGGAGACCTATAAATTAATTTGTTTCTCACCCTTGTTTGGTTGCTGATCGGTAACATGTGCCAGCTGGCTTACAGATAAATGCTTTTTGGTACTAAAGTTACTTGGGGAAAGAAACACTAATATTCAGCATGATTAGCTGTTAGAGCAGATTTGTGATTGTAAGTGTTCTAGACCTTGCTATAAACTTACCAACTATGTGGGAACATGCATTAAGAAAAATAACACAGTAATTTTATGCAGAGTGACTAAATGTCATATGACTCCCTGCTGAGTATGAAGGATTTGTAAACCTATTCTACAGGTGGGGAGAAGTATTCATAAAACCGGTGATTTACCAGGGCGTTCTCTTTGTCTTGTTCCCCTAATAATGAGAAAACTATGTTTTAAATGTCAGTTTTAAATGTGGTCCACTCCTTAGTGGTACAGCGAAGCTGAGTCCCTTTGAGCCCGTAATGCTATGGTAAAGGTTTTCCAGGTGAGTGAATCGTGTAAGTTTGCCTTTGTGGAAAGGTTGAGTGCCTCGGGTGGACGCGGCTGTCTTGCATTTGGTGCGGTTCAG